CTACTCTTTTTTCTTATAATGCTGTTCTATTTTATATATAATTTTAACTTTTTTGTAGAAGCTGACTCAGGGAGAAACGCACAAAAATTCCAATGTACCTGTACCTGTTCAAATGGCAATAAACATCTATTCTATTCTATTCTATTCTAATCAAAACTCCCAGGTCACTGTTTTCCAGAACGTCTGTTTTTGAAAATGAACTCTTCAAATATAGAGTGACAGATATGTGCATCATATGCTAAGCAGCAAACGGTGCTTGTAGATGACGAGGCTTTTGCAAAGAATAGAAGCAAATCTCCTCGTTTGCACTTGTTACAATTCACTTAGCAGACTCTTTTATCCAAAGCGACGTACATCAAGAGCAATTACAACACTAATCCATTCATACATCGCCACCAAAGCAACAGGAGCAATGCAGGGTTAAATGTCTTGCCCAAGGACACATCGGACATGTTGCCATGACGATACCAACTGAGCCACAGCGGCCCACTTGTGCTTGAATAATGCAAAAATCAAACATCAAAATAATTGCAGGTTCATTTTCTGTGCAATGACCAATCAACAGACTCATTAGTACAGCTACGATGTGAAGTCTTCAGTCACACAAATGCAACCTCACTTGAGACTTGAAATCAAAAATATGAAGAAAAGTGAGAACTTTTTACCTAATTAGAAATGTAAAATAATAAAGGTAAGTAAAGCAGTAACATAAAGCCTCTGTGTAATCACAAAGCTTGATATTTAATTATTACCCTCTTCAATGCAGAGACCTTTAGCCACATCAGAAAAAATATATTTATACATAAATGTATATTACTAGTATACTTTCAAAAGGAATCCAGCTATTTCAAATAACTGTACTTCTACTGTATATGACCTAATTTAGAGATGAACATATTCCACTTCCTGTCATTACACATTCTAACACACTCTATTCCTCTTTGCGGATACATTTTCATTGAGACTGATCTTCCTTAACAAACTAAAGATGTTTTTTTTTTTTTAAAGATCTCTGTCAGCTGATGTGCTTTAAAACGTCCTATCCCAGCACTGATTGCCAGACGCCTCTCGCAGCTTAAAGAAGCAGCTTTTTCTTTTGGTATTCAGCCGGCTGTAACCCACCTCTGCAGCAGTAGTTGTTCTTTAGATTTTCTTCCCCAGCGCGTAAGCTCTTCTACACACGGTGCTTACATTATTTTGTCTGCACCCTCTTAAGTGTACATTTTCCTTTTTCACAAATAGCGCATGGCGTACAAAAAGCCCATTTTCAAATTCTAACACTAGCTTCCAAGCACAAGAGGAAGCCTTGGCGCGACTTGATTTGATGTGCACTTAAGAGAAAATAGGACACATTGAAAAGGAGAGAAAAAAAAGAAATGTAAAGAAGTTTCTGCTGTGTGGGTATACATCTCTACACTCAGAGTACACACATTAAGTATCTTTTCTGTGACTCAGAGAAAAGGCAGGTAGATCCAGATAAAAGCTGAAATATTTTTGATGGTTTAATCCATGGTATACACTTCAGTCACTAACAGAAAATCAAAAGACACCAGAGGTGAAGTATAGATGGGAAAAAGTCTGCTTTGTGTATCGCTAATAGGCTATATGTCTGAAGTCTTGGCTCAGTAGTCAAAGAGACCACATCATAAAGTTTTTTTAGTTCAAAACTTTTCCGAGCTGTATTTTTCCGTGGAGTGCCCTTTTTTTTTTCTTTTGACAATAGCAAAGTGTTTTCCCTAAAATTCTTGCGACGTGATTGGTTCCTGTCAAATTGGCTCAAAATCTATGTGTCAGGGGAATTTCCACATGAACATAAATGTTGAAACCACTTTAAGTAATAACTAATATTAGCTAATGCTTTACCAAAGCTTAATACAGTACAATTATTATTAAAGTGTTTCTCATGTCATTTAAAGGAAATGTTCAGCCGTAAGAAAATAAGAAATGTGCACCTGTGTGACAAGTGTGAATAGATTTTCTTAAGGCTCATCGATCATTTCTTTGATGCCATTAGAAAAACTCAAAGATTTAGTCATATAAACGTCTGAGAATGGTGATAATCAGGGATATGGGATTTTTGGGATAGATACCGATACTAGGGAGAGAAAGAAATCTGATACCGATAAATCTGCTGATATCTTTCTTAGATCTATGTTCGATCTGTGGAGATAAATATAGATATACACATGTATTGTGTTGATCCTCAAATGAAGCTATCAAACACTTGAAAATAGTTCTAATACAGACAAGATGGTCACTCAACTGGAGTGTAACTGAGCATGTAAATGCATCACTGCTTGACACTTTACTGGTGACAGTGAGAAAGAGAACTGCTGGTGTAATAAAATGATACTCCAATGAAATGCTATTTGACTGTTGAATAAATCTGGTAATATCGGCGCATATCCGAGATAAAATCAGCTGATACTGATAGTCACTGGATATGCTAACATTGGCCAAAATCATCGGCCGCCTGATTAACCGGTCTGGCTATAGTAATAATGATTTTTTTCTTTCTTTCAAAGGAGCTGCTTTCAGTAAAACTTTGATAACTATCAGTTGGAGAGTTATATCATCATCAGGGGATGACCATTGTTTGTGCCTGTCTTAATTCAAACAACACGGCATGCTGAAAAAAAAAATCATATTCTTCATGACTTTGTGTTGCTGTTGAGTAGATGTCTAGGACTTTAGTGAGTGCTCAAATGCTGATGGGCATACATCTAATTTATAATGCTTCATAAGGCATACATGGTCCTCACTTTAAATGAGCTCACTAAAATACTTCACTAAGGGCTTTATGACGACCTGAATGAATCCTGAACTTCTGCATTAACAAGCGTTTCTGGAGCATCTAGTAACACACTCATCAACCCTCACTACATGTTTGAATCATTATCTGTGTGAGGGATGAAATAATGTACACCTATATAGTTTATTCAATTAAAAAAACTTACTTTAATTATACACTTGTAAAATGATCTTATGAACCTATGACAACTCCACATTAGATAGTTTGTTAGCGATGCAACTGTTGTTTTATGAATGGTGAATTCATAATTTCTAAAGTGTAAAAATAATTATTGAAAACATAATAGATGAATATAATAATCAACATTAAACATTTACAAATGTGCTTATAACTGTGCATAAATGAGCATTAATAGGAACAATAAGTATTAAGTGATACCGAGTCTGTCATTGGAGTCTGAAGTATTGGGATACTGCCCTCAGCTCTGAGTCAGTTTGAGATGATTCCCATAGTTTTAGTTAAAGCTCGTTCTAAGTTAAACATCGTATATCAGAAATACTTTCTGAAAAGGTTTGTTCTCCATCACTATCTTAGTGATTCACTGCTACAGCGTGGCAGAGCTTCTAGAGAATTCACATGTCATCTTCCAAGATCCCTTTTCTTCATGGCCTTTGGAAAAGGGTGATGTCATATTTTTCGACCAATCAGCATCAAGCAACATTTGAATAAGCACCTTTGGGAGTTAATCTGCAGAAAACACACCCGTATTTTCCTCATGAAGATTCTTTGAATTTGAATTTCCCCTTGGGATCAATAAAGTATCTATCTATCTAACTTTGAGTTTTTGAGTGTAAAGCACAAAGGTGTTCACTTGTTTTTTCTCCCCTGTCATCGTTTCACACAGTGTTGGAAATATGATGGCCAAGTTTTTCCTTAAACCTGAAGATACCAGATACTTTTCACATCACTGCCACTTTTAATTTGGTCTTCTCTCCAGACTGGCGGTTGTCTGTTTCCCTCCACGTCACTAAAGTGCTTCAGAGACTTCCCGGACATGGATAATTGATCGCAGTTATCATCAAGTCTCATTTAATTCATGTCAAAAAGTAAAATCATTGTCATGTGTTGTCTAAATGAAACTCCTCTTATGAAGTTTATCTACATCACAGCAGCACTGAATCATCTGTAATGAAATGGAACAAACATGCAAAAACACTGGTAGGGGCTTAATAGTGTTTTCCAGGTACTCATTTGCATCAGTCATTTAACTATGACATCTGAGGAGTTCTCAGCATCCAGACAGGCCTCATTCACATCATGTTAGACTAGTTCCTGTCCTTCAACAACCTGAACAAGAGTTGTATTCCCCTCACCGTCCTCTGATGATGGAATATATTATATTACGGAACGCTGATCCCGTCTGGTGTCTTGACAGAGCCAATCAAACCAGAAATAGACTGTGAAATGATTAAATGGGCCCAGTCTGGGGGGCGTTATGAGAATATATAAAAAGAGATTATGGTCTTAGTATAAAATCAACAGCACAAAAAGATGATGATTCATATTCTTCTTCTTGCCTTTGTTTATTACACTACTCATTTTAAAAGATTCATAGTAGCCAAAATAAAAATAAAAAATTTAAATAATGTAATGTATTGAATAGGTTTCTGCCCCTTTTTGGACAAAAGAATCCTTAAGAGTGCGTTTGTCTGAGTGATTACTTTTTTTCAAATACTTAAATGAATGAAAACTGTGGTTTGGAGGTTTTCAGTTTTAACGCCTTAAAACTAAAGTGATGTGAATACAAATAACCAGTCATAGTTTTCTAGGTTGCCCTTGTTTAAACCCCAGTTTAAAAGGTTCAAATGTCAGTTCCACAGGCTGTCCCACCTTTCTAACCCCATTACAACGATATCAGAGACACCCATCAAAATAGGTGAAGTAAATGATTAACACAGACCTAGTTTGCATCGGAGCTTGAACTAGCCTTTAAAGTAGGTTAAAGTGACTGCTGCTGCCTTCAAGTTCCACAGACTTCCTGCCGGTTTTTTGAAAATTCCCATTCTGATGAAAAAAGCCTCCATAGAAACTTGATCACTGATATTTAAATGCATGACTCCGTTTGGAGAACTGAGAGAACATTTCCCGAGCTCAGAGCAGTAATTTCTCATCATTTCAAAGCTGCAGGAACACAGAAACACTTTCTGAATCATTAACTGTGGGGTTTCTTTCGTTATTTTCTTCCTACCTGTAGCTGTAGCTTGGTAACTGGCGGCCGATGGGATACTTCCTTCTTAACAACGCATCCTTCGTAGGCCCCCTTAAAGTCCAACTTATTTATTCTTCCTCCGTGTGGAGGCCAGGTCACTGTGAGGGTGACTAACAGCGGGCCTGGTTCCTTTGAGGCGTTTCAAACTACCTGAAATATGAGCGCTTTTCCTTATTTTTGACAAAAACCCCGACGGCAACAGGTGTTCATTTCACGTACAGGTGACAGTGAATCATCGACGTACTATGCTGCTCCCTCGCTGAGCTCGTGAGAGTCCAACCCCCCCTTCTAAACTCACCCACACCTCCCTCCCCCCCTCCTGGCTGTTGCTGTTTTATGTTCAAAAGACTAACCACATTAATTGAAGTCACTGCCACAGCCCTTTAAGCTCTTTAATGTTTGAAGCCAATGCAGCTTTAATAAAAGAGTTTGTTTGTGCAGGCACAGGATAAAAAGATGTTTTTTTGGTGCCACTAATCCCTGATGATATCCACATATGCTAACCACAAGAGGGTGTCCTTTACCTGATGTTGGAGGGCAAACCAGGAGGAAAAGTTAGTCAAAAACAAACTTTTATTGAACAAAGAAATATATCTTAGCTTTAAAAATGATGAAATAACAGATGAAATAACAGATGCAACATTTATTTGCTGTTCTCAATTTATTTCATGTTTCATATAAATATGTTTTTAGCAAATAATATTACAATAATGGAAGTTCACTCTGGGGCTAAGTAAAACTTAAATGGAATTTTTTTTCTATCAATTTGAGAACTTGTGTTTCTTTGTTTCCAACACTCAGGTATATCCACCCATCCATTACCGCTTTTTCCCGATCGGGGTCTCAGGTGCTGGAGCCAATCCCAGCTGTCATTGGATGAAGAGGCGGGGTTACACCCTGGACTGAACGCCAGAACGACAGACAACCAGCCACACTCACGTTCAGACCTACAGCACTCAGGTAGGTATATTATTTATAATTAGAAATGGTTATTTAGACAGTTTAATTATCTTGCATCCCAAGAATCACCTTTTCAGAGACAAAAAGACAAAAATCCCTCCAATCATGAAATTTAATTTATTTGGTTCAAATCAAGCATATGTATGTAAAAAATACATGTTTCTGTGATATTCAAAAGTAAATGAATATGCACAAACAGCAATACTTCATAGAGAAAGAAATACACTCCATTCAAAAATAGTCTTCACTTTAACAAAGTTATCAATCTTTGGACAATACTGCAAATACAATCCTTCAGGAGAAATATAGTCCCCCCTCCCTTGTGATATAATTTCAACTATACAGATAAATATTTCTTAAAGGTACACTACAAAACAGCTGTGCAAAAGTTAACACTTAAGATTCTCAGTTATCTCGATTATGGGTTTCATAGCAGTAGTTTCCAAAAGGCATCAGTGCAGACTCCTGGCTAGGTTTATCATCAGGTCTTCAATGAGTGGTGAGTAGTGTTCAAGAGCAACATGTTGCTGAACTCACTGGTCTCACATCCTCTGCTCATTTAGTATTTGATTCACTGTTAATTAAGTTGAATATAAAAAGCCTCTAAGGTCTGTCGAGCTTCAAGGAGCAGAACAAAACAAAAACAGATTATAAAATGATTGCAAAAAAAAAAAGTTAAATCCTGCAGCAGTGCACTTGTGAATAAACAAACGTCTCTATGGCTGAACAGCGATCAGGTTTTTTTTTTTGCTACATTCATTCAGAAGCTCAAAGTAAAGAGCTGGTAACAGTTTTCATAAAGGGATTCTCCACCAATCAGCAGCTGATTTTTCGGCTCAGTCGCCAAAATCTGGGATGTCTTCATAGGAGTAACCACGGTAACCCTTGGCAGCAAAGTAGGCGATTCTCAAATGGTAAAATCCAGGCAGGAAAACGAGCAGCCCTATGATGATAACAGGGATGGTGCGGTCCGGATGCTGGAAACACAACACAAAAAAATCACATGATGAATAGCTACAAGCAAACATTTGGTTGTGTTAATAGGGTTTGATCTACTTTTTTTCTGAATATTTGACTTGCTAATGAGTTGCTGGAAGCAGTATAACAGATTCTTTAATGTACTCATCAAGCTTTAACATACTTATCTTCCCTGTCGCCTGTCATCACCACATAAACCCCCTCTGAGTGAAAAGAGCATGCAGGAGGCAGACACACACGATGACTTCATCTGTCAGAGATCTGGTTTCATGTAAATTATCGGACATGAAATATACATAGCAGCGAACCACCAGGAGGCACAGGCTGTTTCTGTGCCAAGTGTTGTGTTTCAATTCACCACCAGATGGCAGTCTTGTGCACTGGGTTACTTTTATCCCCCTTGATGTTTTTTTTTTTTTTTTTTTTTTTTTAAAAGGACTCACTGCTGCAAGGGCCATGATAAGAGCTATCATATCTTTGTAGTTCCCTAAAACATTTAGAACTACATGCCCTAAAGAGCACAGTGAGCGGTTACAAACCACACTTTACAAATATACTGTAAAATGTGTTTGACCAAAGTAAATCAAGAGGTCTTATTTACTGTTTTTGTAAATGTTCAACTGAATCTCACAGTCTTCTTTTGCAGATGGAGTTTTTTTTTTGGTTGTCATCGTATAGACTAAAAAAAAACATCTACATGCAACCTGAGTAAACTCAGTCTACTAATGGATTCAGGGGGCGCAGATTCAGATGGTGTCTCTTTTGTTGAGACGAGATGCAGCGAATGACCTCGATTTCAAACTAATCCTTGAACCTTTAGAATAAAAATCTTTTTTTTTTTTTTTTAAATGTTATGACACAAGCCTTGGATGGAAACAAATCCTGGATGTAACCTCTTCATCCTTGAATAAGTTGATTTTATCCATGAACTACGTCATGAAGACATACTATGACTTGAGACTGTTAATAACTTCCAAGAGCAACTCCCTCTGTTTAACAAAGATCTTAAATAGATGACGTACTATCTCCTGCTCACTTTAAAAGGAATGATAGCCAGATCAACATCTTCAATCAGAAGGTCAACCACTTTTAAGAAATTTTCACAAATCAAAATTTCTCAAAGCTGATTTTACAACTGAATTCTTATCAACATCATCAATAAGAAGTACAAGTCAATTAGAGGAGGGTTAGCATGTGTCAACAAGTTGTTTTGTTTTATTTGATTGGCCACTGCTATGGTGTACTACGAATACAAAATGTATTTAACTGTTTGTTGAAGACCTGGGCCCGTATTCACAAACATTCTGAGGATCCTTTGAGACCTTCTTACTTAGCTTAAAAAATCCTAGCAAGGACTTTTAACTTAAGAGTGATTCAGGAACATTCTCAGAGAAACTCTGAGTGACAGTGAGAAAAAAACTTTTATCTTAGTGGTTGATCCAACGAAATGGATTAAAAAAAAGTCAATCATAGAATCTATTCAGACATTGCAATGTAATTATAAAATTATCATCTGTGTGATAACTGAAAGATGTACTTTAAAAGTATATAGTCTACGAGATGTTTGAAATAACATGCCGTCTGGTGCAGTAGCTTCTTCCCTTTCTGAGTTATATCAGCAGGTGAAGAGCCTTAATTAGAGATTGGATACACCTGTGGAGGTGAGCACATGTAGAGAAACTCAACATGTCTCACTTTGTACTGAAGAAAGTCAGTGTTGGCTTGAAATCCCTGCAAAAATCAATTTTGTCTGTTTGGCCTAACTGTGGTTCAGAAATATTCTCCATGAAGTGTTTGAAGACCATTTCTTCATTTTTTCCTCAGTTTGATAAACTCTTAAGACTCTTAAAAGTCCTCCTCACTGCTCCTAACAGTTTCCCACCATATGATGTCTCTTAAGGGCTAAGAAGCTTTGTGAACGTCTTTCATCTTTAAATGGATCTAGTCTGAACTTTAAGGGAAGGATTTAGGAAAGGATTCTTAAAATAATTTTCTTAAAATGTGTCACCAGGAGCAACTCTTAGTATTTAGGAGGCTTTGTGAATACGGACCCTGGACTTTCCCCCAGATCACCAGCAACACTTTGATGAAACAAAAGAAAAAACATAATAATAATACAAGACATTCATTCAAAACAAGATCTCCTAGCAATACAATCTGGCATTATTTACATCATTTATTGCATGAACCGTGTGTAAATCATTGTATTAGAAGCTTCATTTTAAAGAAGCATGAGCTAATTGGCAAGAACAAGGCTTGGATGCTCCAACGCTGCCTTGATGTCAGAGCAAACTTCCTGCAAACAAAATCAAATATATAGCTATGTGCAGACTCCATTATCTCCCACACAGAGTCACGAGTTTAAGAGGCAGAGACCAGAACAGGGGGTCCACCAAATTGGCACTGTAAAATATCCGAATCATTAGCTATTTATACACACACACACACACACACACACACACACACACACACACACACACACACACACACACACACACACACACACACACACACACACACACACACACACACACACACACACACACACACACACACACACACACACACACACACACACACACACACACTTTTTGGCTAGGAAAAGCAAGAGCACTGTGGAAACTGGCAGCAAGGCAATGTAATGTCAGGACAACTGTTCCATGACAGTTTTTAAAAATACGTTAACAGCAGAATGAGTGCTTTAATTACAGCTTGAGTGGACATGTTTAGGAGGCTGTGTTGGCGTTCTTGCTGTGTGTCTAAAGGAGACGTGATATCCCACCATCACACTTGTTTTTGGTAATGACTGATATGTTTTCTTTCTGTCAAAGTGTCCAAATTTCAATGCTGGCAGAGAACGTCTGCTCAGATTAGCTGTCAGGTTTATTTACTCTAAACTCAGAAAGATACCGAATCCAAAATGTAGCAGAATATTTGGCAGGATATTTAATCCAGACAGGTTCTGGGACCACCGCTTTGACAACACAATTTTAGAGAATTAACTATTTTGTTAAATAAGTTATTTTATCGTTTTCTTGAGTTAGATGAGAAGATTTATACTGCCATTAAAGCTGTGTGGAAAAATGTAGCCAACAGTAGCAAAATAGGCTAGCTTAGCCAGCTGTTGGCTAATATTTGGGTGCGCCTGTGAAGCAGCAGGGCTGAGTGTGGAAATGGGCTACCAAATAAATAAGTAGGAAAAATTGATTCGTGCGAACGTGGAGCTCTTGTTGTAACTTTGCTCCTAGACGAGGAGGGGAAATGTCCTAAAAAGAGGAGGAGGTAAATGAGCCTCCTACTTGATATGATTGGCCCCTTTGGCTAAAAGTGTCTTCAACTAAAGACGATCAACATTTTTAAACTCTTATGCGCACCAGCAGGAGCAAGAGTGCCTGCCAAGCTTGCTGTACCAAAGGAAAACAATAATTCAGCTGGTGACGCTTTTCTAGCGAAGCGTCTCTGTGTGATCAGGCCCTGAGCGAAGGAATGAACATTTACTGTTCATCAGCGATAAAACATCATTTGAGTATGTAAACTATCTGATATAAATGACTTTGTTTTGCTTGAACAGAGTTGTGCTAGCTGGGCTGCCATGTTTCACGCTTTATACTCAGCCAGAGTGAGCTAACGCTAACCAGCTGTTGTTCATAGTAAGGATACCTGTGGAAAGATGGGACGACTCTTCTTATCTAACAAGAAAGAAAATACATGATTTTCCCAACTTGTTCCAGTATTCTTTTAACATTAAAGAGTATCTTGAAGACTTGACTATAAAAAGTGTTGAGACGTATTTATGACGCATCAAAAAGAAAAAAGAGTCAATAAGGCTTATCTGATTCACATACAGAAGCAGAATAAAAAGACTTAGTATAAAATAGTATCTTCCAAACAGGAATTAGACTCTGAATAGACAGGAGGCAGGCAGCTCAGACAGATATAGATTTGTCACAAATGGATTTTCATGAGACGTGTTTTGTGGGGACAAGCCTGACGGGGTATTTACTGTCAGCTCGAAGAAACACAAACACTACAGGAGAGTGTGACATGCTTGGCAATGAGCTTTTTAGCAACACCTCAAGACGTTGCATTTTCAATTTATACTTTGGACACATTTCAACTGCAGTCTTACACAAGAGGGAAATAAATGAACTGGGAACCTAACAATGTAATTCAACATGAAATAGTTTTTATCCGGTTAACAAATCACACTCACCTCCACCTCTATGGTTCCTGAGAGGAGAAGAGCCCCGAAGATTATCAATAAGGAGCCAATCAAAAACAGGAATATCGCCAGTGCAATCGCCTTGTAAGGGACCTTCGGGGGGCTTTTCTTGAACTGTAAAAGGGAAAGAGTTCAACATTCAGTCTCCTGGAATGTTCTTTTATCATAACAAGTCATCTCAGCACACAGTGTTGCTTAGTGACTGCTTGAAAAGAACACGTTTAACAATGTAAATCTGTTCATGTAAAAAAAAAAATATTTTCAACCCTGACTAATAACCAGACAGGCAAAAACTGAAACCCAAAGTTAATCAGACTTGTTCGTTAGCAGACAGCTTCTCCTCTGGTATAATCCCAGACAGCTTTACCATCTTTCCAGGGAGCCATTAATTGGGGATTCACCTCAAATTAATTGCCTGCTGTAGTGAAGACTTTCCTAACAGCCGAGGCTCCAGAGCAATCCATCGAGCCACATGATGAGACCACAGAGAAACTAGAGGAAGCAGAACAAATGTCTCACCTGTAAATCTATGTAACCATCGTCGTCAGCAGCCAGCCGTGAATACTTGACCTTGTTGTTGGATGCTGCAGCACCCAGCGTATTGCTTCTAGCTGCTTTCATTATGACATAGGAACTGTAGGGGGGGAAAAAGAGACAGTAAAGTAATCATCACATCATAGGGTATATTTCCAAAGTGCTTTTCAATTTCTGAACAAATACTATATCTCTACAAGACTCTCTAACAATACTTTTTTTACTGTTCACATACAGTACAATGAAACAATAAAGCGAGCCATCTCTCTTGTGACTCACTTTAACCAATAAATATACTAAAACAGATAACATCAGGTGTGAGAGCTGTAAGGCATAAACTATAATTTCAGCATCCAGCTGTGTATCATCTAACATCTGTGTTAAACTAATGTAAACTAACATGACTAGTTTACTGGCTGTCAGGTCAAGTTGATCTGATGTTGCTTGGCTGAGACAAACTTACATTCAAATAATAAAAAACATTTTTTTTTACATAGGTGTGGGAAGTAGCGGTGCAGAGGATGCTGCAGCACCACAATCAGACACAGGTAAAAGGATCAGCTTATAAAAACCTTTAAACCTCTGTTTACTTTGTACAGTAGTTACAACGATATGTGTGGTGGCTTTTTTTTACTATAGCATTCTGTAACGTTGTCTAATACTTCTTGCAGAGTGATACTACTCAAAGCAGATCGGAGCTTTTGTAAATGGATAATAGTAAATGGACTTGAGCTTGTTATATAGTGCTTTTCTAGTCTTCTGTGTACTCAAAGCACTTTTTACACCACAGGTCACACCTACACATTCACACACTGATGGCAGAGGCTGCTGAGTGAAGTGGCCATCAGAAGTTACTAATCCCATTCAAACACATTCATATGCCGCTGACATAGCAGTGGGAGACACTTAGTGTTAGATGTCTTGCCCAAGGACACATGGGAAATGTTGCTGCAGGAGCTGGGGATTGAACCCCCGACCTTCCAGTTGAGAAGCGACGACTCTACAAACTGAGCCACATTTGCACCACGTGCAGCACAGTAATCAAAGACGTTGTGATCATCCTGTGAAACATATATCTCTAGAATTTTGAGTTTTAGTTAATCATTCTTTAAATGACTTCAGGGAGAGAGAGAGAGAGAGAGAGAGAGAGAGAGTGCTCACATGGGCGAGCGTCCCATTATGCAGAAGTTCAGGGCCAAAAAACAGAATCTTCATTCGATTAGCTTTCCTAATTTAGCTCAGTTTACCAGTGAAGTGTGTGAAGTGTGTGAACACTGCAGTCTGCAGTCTCGGTAAACAGAGTGATGCCGTCTCATATAAACCACACCAACGTTTGCTTTCCACCCTTATGACTGCTCTGGTATTGACGTATAATATACTGTACCAGCACTTCAACACTTCACCTCCCATCTCTTTAGCACTTAAATCCTAGCGTAGCCTAGTGTGATGTTATGTGTGTCTCTGTCAACTGATGCAGCACAGTTCATGTAGTGGTTGCTGTGTGTTGTGAGCTTCTTTACGTGTGTACCAGCAACCTGCCAGGGGACTGCAGATGGAAATGAGCCTATGGCAATATACATGTTTATGTGCATGAATGTGTTAACGAGCTGCTGTGAATAATCTTAGTATGACTGCACATTGAAATTATCCACTCCAAGTGGGTGGCACGGTTTCAGATCCAACTCATGGCTCATTTCCTGCACGTCGTTCCCCACACTCTCTGTCCCTGATTTCCAACGTTACCCACTGCCCTATCTCTTAATAAAGGCATAAAAAGCGCCCGAATAAAGAAGTTAATAAAATATGAATTGAATGAGCAGAAAGCACAACATCATCTTGTAGAACGATTTCTCTCAGCACCCCAGGTATGACTGAATTCCAGCATCCCTGTTGTGCTGTAATAATGTTTTAAATCACAACACATAATGTTACAAACATAATTTGTAAACTTTTCAAAAAGCTCCTGCAAACCACACGTGTGTACTACAGTGTGGTAATCCTGGTTTTAAAACATACATTCAAATATCTCAGCTCCGTTAAAGCTATTGTAGGACTCTGGAAGGTGAATTTATATACAATACAAAACCCTGCTTCCAGTTAAAAGCATAAAAGACTAATTGAAAACTCCCTCAGACTGTGAGGTCAGAGATAAGAAGATGCTCATCTTCTCACTTTATTTCCACTCTTTAACCTCGTCTTATAAATGTGAACACAAAGTAACATTTCTGCCACTACTTTTTAGTCAACATGAATGTTCTCAGTTTAAACAAAGGCAATGGGGGTCACTGTACTGATGACAGTAGTAACTAGTTAAATGATGCACTGTTGGGAGTCACAGTTTTTTTCTGCGACACTTTCTTCATCACCTGCCGTGTACAGAGACTGAACGAAAATGAAAGATCAATCTTCCTTCTCTCCTCTCTCAAGCAACCTGTGTGCGCACTGCAGGGAAATATGTTTGCCAATTACATATTAATAGAGAAAAATCTGTATCTAGTCCTGTTTCTTTAGCCATGGGGGACACTGCCTTTCATTATGTTTATAGTTATTGCAATTATTCCACAAAATTCAGTCAGCACTCAGCATAAATAAAGACTAAATACTCATACATTATTTAAGAGATTATCACTTTCTTATCTGATGCACTGTTCACACACAAACAGAAAAAGGACAATAAAATACCCCAACATCGACCTGCAGCAGAAGGACTTAGAGTAGTGTGACATCACAGGATGTGATCGTCCTCGAGGCTTAAGTTTTGTTTTCATTGGAAATTTTGGCTCAATGAATTTGCTTACTTGAGCCCCCCTTCGGGGACTAGTACCATGAATAAAAACTGTTGTTCCTGCTCAAACAGAGGATGAAGGCGCTCTCAGAAATGTTCTGTTATTTTGCTGGCAGTTGTCACATTAAATTGCCACAGAGCCACAGTGATGAGGGGAGCTCCAGGTTATATTTATTGTAATGCTGCAGCACACCGCGCAGCAAGGGAATACTGTGGATTTAGCAAAAATGGAGGCAAGTGTTTACAAGGCTGTTCTGGATGTCCCTATGTTATCTGAGAGAAACATATTCAGGTTTACACGCACGATTAAAATGCAAACATGTGGGAGTATTCATTAGTATTCATCTGGATTGGTTTCAGAGGGAGAGACAGAACCTTTCTGCAAATCCATAAGATTGCTTTGATCAACTTGATATTGTATCATATCTAACTTTTTTTTTCCTGTTTCTACCATGTCAGTCAAACATTCAGTAGATGGCTGATCAATAACAGAAAACAAACATCAAGTGTCATAGTAATGTGTCGGTCCACCAACCCAAAAACCTTCAACAACCCCCAGTTTGTTTGTTTTTCAGGTTCACTGCTTTAATTTGTCACCTGTCTGTTCGATTTAAAATTTACAATTTGCATGCTTACTAAATGATCTTTTTTCTTTGTTTGCCTTTAGAGCTGCAGATACCACAGATGACACTAAGGTCAGGTTTTCAGTCATATTAAGCAGAATTTCAGGTTGGACACACTGACGAGTTTACATTGCTCCACACTACAGATGCACACAAAATATAGTCAGTGTTTTTAAGATTAGTGCTAACATATTTTAGGCTGATGTCTGGCTTTGAAACAGCATTGAGACCTTACTGAATCACACTTACATTAATACAATTCTGCTGGTGATTGTATCAAGCCATCAAAAGAATCAAACTTCCAAAGTGGTCGAGTTGATCTGGGGGAGTTTGGTCTTATGATGCACTAATGTTTAATCCAAAGTCCTGGTCCACAATGGTTCCCTTGAAACAGGCTTCATGCACGTTTTATCTTCTATGATTTCAAATTCTGGGAATTGAACACTACAATTTTAAGCATACCATGTATAACATAGACACTAAGCACGGTGTCCTGTTGTTATTGTAATGCAATAATTCAAGGTGTATTTTGTGATAGGCCTAACTGTGCCATCCCATAAAGTTGTACAGCCTGCATGTGACACATTACCCAGAAATAAACGTCAGAATAGACAGGCCTCCATCATCCCCAACAGAATGAGCCTTTTTCACTTTTTGTTATTTGAAATGGAGATCTTGTACATTGATTTGAACCAGAACACTGGTTTAAATCAATGTTACATATGGCTAATAACAACAGTAGCGTATGAGTAATAATAACATAATGTAAGCTACCTGAGGGTTTAGCATAGCACCTAAGAAGTAGTTTACCCTATCAATAAAGATATAAACCGCTAAGTGTCCTGCTAGCTTATTTAACCTGCTTTGGATGTTTGTGTCTATCTTAATTAGCTGGAGCATTAGCTTCTTAACAAAAAGCTATGTAACATAACGATAACATTATTTTCTGTAAACTCGTTTCTTCTGCTCGACTCTTCCTCTCTTACCTGAAGTTGAGATACAGAAAATGTGTGTATGTGGCGCAGACTGCTCCTCTGCAACGCCACATCTACAACATCGTTTTCATTGATGGAACTAAAGCGTACGTCAACTTCCTTGTTTACAAGCAGAGCGCATGCGCAGAAAAAACAACGTCCTGTTTCTGATCCTGATAAGATTCATGGGGCTTTCAGCACACGAGTTTTCTCCATAGACTGTGGTAATATCCTTGTTGATTTGAGTAAGTTTATAAATACATGTGTTAATGGTGAATTATACAGATATTTTACTTAAGTGCTGATAACAATCCTATTTTCCAGTTATACTCAATTTAAACTTTTACTTCAGTGTATGGAAGCCCATTTCCGTTAGTTAAAAAGAGATAATAAAGTCATAATTATGAGATAATTTCGACTTTTGATCTCATTATTATGACTTTATTATCGCAAAATCTTAAAAGCACCTTTTCCTCCTTTTGATATGACACCATACAACTGAGTGTTTGTAATGGTGCACTTCCTTTTTTTGTGTCTTTCAAATTAAACGAGGCCCACAGGTATGTGTAGGCTAAGACGAACAAAAGTAACTGAAGGCTAGACTTCTCTCTCCATTTAAAATTCAAGGCAGATGCCCCTTAAAATCATCTGCAGTATTCCCATACTTTTTTTTGTAAAATACCATTCACTAACAACTTCAAACCTCTTTTTGATCTTCCACGTTGTTCTCCACGATCATAGTCATAGTCTTTTTGCTGACTGACTCTGCAGCTGTTTGGTTACTTGGAAAACAAGTGGCACTGTGATTTTAGAAAAGATGAATCCGCTCTTTGTTATGACAGTCAATCAAATAATGAGTGATCAGCTGGTTTGAATTTCTGAAGGCTAATGCTTATGATGTTGCTTAGAGCAGTGATTCTTGAAATAAATAAATGTCTTCAACATTTCAACCGGATAATTTGTATGGTGACAGCTCGATTTTGATATGAAAGGATGACGTTCCCTCTAAACCCACACAAACTGCTTTGTCATCTTTAGGTCTGTTATAGAAAATAGATGCACTGCAGCCTTTTTTAGAAAACCATCTCCACTTTGTTCACATTGAACCCCTTATTGCTTATAAGAAGCTACATCCTACCTGATGTATGAATGCACTGTGCACATGATAAAAGTTGTTTATACGGTTCTGACTCACATTATCTGGTGCTTCATGTGCAACTGTTAGCAACAATGAGCATCAATCTACACTTGAAATGTATTTCTTGCCAGTGTGTACAGTATGCCATTTTTACCAACTGAGACTAAATGAGCTCCTTTGATTACAGACGTGAAGAAAGCATTAAGCATATTCATCTTCATCATCAGATTTGCAGCATGTTTCCATCATATCACTGAGGCGATATATTGCAGATGATTGCTTTAGCGTTAAACTAATCTGAACTGCCTTTGCAGAACATCAAGCACATTAACAACCTTCCTACTGGCAACGTTTCTTCTATCAGTGGGAGTCAGAATCAGATAGAGAAGAGGAAGAAAGTTCACACAGTTTGGGGAATCTTGATACAATTACTAGTCATTTATCTTTAAAGACAGATACATGCACAACTCACAGACAAAAAGCTCCAGTTAAAGGAATTTTATTTACACTAAAGTAATAGTTTACAAGGCAATACACACATGCTTGTGAATATCTGAGGCTGTATTTTTTCTGGTTGACTGCAGTCTTTGAGCAAGCTTAATAACATGGCATGCTCACATTGACCATGCTATATTGCTGATGTCAGCATGTTAACATTTGCACACACACAAAGAAGCTTTACTGCTTGAAATGCTTTCTTATTTGAAGTTTTAAATCATAAGCCAAAATATTGGGTTTAATATATAAATAAGGACTTTGTGATGGGGCTGGGAAATTCATTGAGTTTTCAGTTTAAATTACAATATTTTGTCATCCTATGATCATGAAAACAAGATAATCAAGATGAAAAGATTACTGTGCAGCATGTTGTGCTCGTTTTGTCCATAGGCTTTGTCATGTGTGGTAAATGTTTGTTGTTACATTATGGCCACAAGATGGTCACAAGAGTGCATCACAACTACATCAAAACATAGTTAATGTATTTTTCATTTATATGTTAATATTTCTATATATTTTAACGTTTTTCATTTCTTTTCATTTATTGTTTGTTTTTTAAAGTGTTTCAGAATGTTAAAGTGTTTCAGATGTTGTATGTACAAGTAATTGTGTTTAATAATCATGATCAATCAAAATCTTCTTGATGTTACATTATTCATCCTAAGAGGGACAATCAATCAATCAATCCATCAGTCATTTAATCATTCAGTAACACATTACTCAACACAGTACTCTTTGTTAAATTCATTACAAAGACCCACAGTTAACACAGCAACAATAAGCAACATTTAGCAAACATACAGTTGCAAGGAAAAACTTCCTTTTAACAGATAAAATCCTCGAGCAAAACCAGAGTCATGATCAGACATCAGCTGTGACTGTTGGGCTCGGAAAGTGGTAGAGGGAGAAGCAGAAAGAAACGGATTGAGAAAAATAAACAGAGCAAAAACAATAACAACAAAGAATAAAACACATATATAGCTACAGTGCCAGTAATGATGGTAAAAGAATGAATGGCATTAGAAGTAACAGAGAGAGAGAGAGAGAGAGAGAGATACTTTATTTATCCCGAGGGATTTTATTTTCCGAGGGAAATACCGGCATCCAGTAGCAGCCTAATAAAACACACGACATGAAACATTTGTTACATCTAACAACACCCACTGTCCCCCTTCCCATATATACCCCAACGAAGATTAAAAGAAACCCCAACATAGATCAAAATGAAACCAAAATGATACCGTACAATTAAAAATTAACATATACCAAGAAAATGTACACAACCCGTGCAGGAATAAGAATAGAAACCTATTTATAATTTAAAAAATAACAATAAAGTTTAAAAACAGTGTTAAAATAGATACTGTACATTTTAGAGTAGACACACAGCTGCACAGCAACATTTATGTTGAAAAGTTAAGCAATGTTTAAAAGGAGGTCATGTATTTTTTAAGAGTCTGTGCATACTTTAAAGTGCGACATTGCTAATATATGATTTGTAAAGATAAGCATCAAAGTGTCCAACGGCTGAGGCTGTCTCTTTCAGACAGCTGAGCAGCTGAAAAGTGAAAAATCCTCTTTAGTCCAATAGTCAACAGCAGATAATAATATTAAATATAATAGATAATAGATTGATCATTCTAATATTGACATTAACAATGACAATAAAATGGGAAAGACTGATAATATTAATTATAAAAGGTTAATTTAAGCAGCTCATAAGATTCACATCAACAATTACAACCTAGATAATAGAAGTCAGACACATTTTAATAGATGTAGCAGTTTCAGTCAGACCTAGAGGAACCCCACGAGTCAAGCGAGCTCAGGATCCCTTTAATGTCCGAGAAGATTTACAGTTAGTGGCCTGCAGTAATACATGTGAATGCATACAGATAGAGATATATGGAGAGGGAGAGACAGCAGGAGAAGGAGGACAGGATGGGTTTACCAAAAGTTGTAACAAACCATTCAGTAGTTGATACATTTTACTCAAAATCAATGATTTCAACCCATTGGAAAAATGAGAGGGGATTGTCACAGCCTGCATGTTCATCATCTGTAAACCCAGATTACATGTCCCAAATATTGTGCCGATCCATCCTGTAAATCCATCTATGCATTGATTATCTGAACAGCTCATTCACAGAGTGAGGCTGGAGCCTATCCCAGCTGTCATTGGGTGAGAGGCGGGGTACACCCTGAATTGGTTGCCAGTCAATCACAGGGCCAACCTGTAAATATTAAGACATGAGTCTTTCACTGAATAGTAAACACATTGTACTGCTGGTGGTGCTACATAATCACCAAAGTCAAGGAGGGTACCATTAGTGTTTATTAGAGATTTTATTTCAGTTTGTATGACAGTTGTAAAGATATTACAATCTGGACCAAAGTGACTGACTATTAATGCTGCTACCAGTTAGCATTCATTAATGACAATAAGATGACAAATGTAATTGTTATATGAATCAGCTTTTGAAATATTCCATGTCACCATCTGTTTAATGAAAATCCTCCACACATTGCAGCACATTACTGATCTTGAATCATTACACATTTAATCCTGTATTCCCATGAGCAAATCTGACTCTATCACAATCACACCCACATCATTCTGGGGAAGCCGTCGGCAGTATTAAGACTGCAAAGCAAATAACTGGAGGGAAGAATGAGTTTGAGCCTGGAGTTAACTGTCTTTTTCGACTGATGGTAGTAAACCTGCGCTGTGAGCTCAATTATGAACTCAATACAGCACAGCTGTGAAAAAAAGAGGACACAGTTTAGAGCACACTTTGATCATTTTGAGAAATTCAAACGTAACTCTGCAAGTTGAGAAAAAAATGAAACAAAGTGGAAATAGCTTTATATGATAACCATTATCAAAGCCTTTTTACACACAGAGCAGGTACCATGTTTACTCCAAATGACAAATCAGCAGCAGCTTTGTCTTCCTGTTTTAAATCATAAGATAACCAAACCTGGCTGTAACTGAAATGTATGGAAGTAGGGGAACCAAACTTAATTTAAGTAAGTCCTTACCAATCAACAGAAGGGTGGTAAAGTCGGTCGTTGCTCAATTGGAAGGCAGGGTTTTTCCTGGCTCACAATGGGCCTTTGGGGGGTGACTTTACGCGCTGTAGTAAACGTTCGACCCGCGTATTACTGTGTAGTCTATGAGTCTGTATTACCTTATTTGACAGAAATCTATGCATTTCCTGTTAATTCTGACCATTTTATTAATAATATTATCATTATGCTTAAGTTACTGAAACCCCAATTAAATCTGGAAAATAATTGTTTTTATTGCAATGGCTGTATCCGAATTGCCAAGTACCTACTCAATCTGTCAGTAGGCAGTAGACAGTACGTACTATCCGTGCTGTATACTGTTAGTACCTACAATTCAGTATGCACACACAGTAGGCAGATATTTCTTCCTACTTCAACTGATTCATTCAGTATGGAAGTGACGTCATTTATGTTACCCGAA